GCCGGTACCGGGGGTGTCGCAGCCGGCGGCGGCGAGCCCCGGCCGCCCATCACGTGCTCGGTGTGTTGCATTGTGCTGGCGGCGGAGGGAGGGCTGGCCGTGTCAGTGATCAATGTCATGACTTCCTCCGCGGGCTGGAGCCGCATCAGAGCGTAGCTGAAGGAAGCTGATTGCCGCGGATGCGAATTGGCCGGGAACAATACACAGAGCGCTTACCCGCACGGGCGGACACACGGCCGCGCACACCGGCAAACGGGGCGGGCGCGACACGCACACACGCGCAAACCGGCACACGGACACACGGACACACGGACACACGGACAAGCACACACACACACGGACAGGCACACACACACACGGACAGGCACACACTCACACACACCCGCACGGGCGGACACACGCCCCCGCACACACACGCACATAAGCAGCGCACACGCACGGCCAGCCCGCACCCTGGCTCCCGCTCCGCCGCTCCGCGCCCGGGGGGAAGATGAGCTCGGGGGACGTGGTTTGCACTGGATGGCTCATCAAATCACCCCCCGAGAAGAAACTCAAGAGATACGTAAGTGCAGAGGCTTTGCTGATATTTTTTTTTACTCGCTAAAGGGATTTCGGCATGTGCTCGCTGTCTAACTCTCTGAAATCTTTCGCCCGTTTCGGCTTCGCCTTGGACCAAAACAAAAAAAGATTTCCAAGTCCATGCGCTTACGGAGTATTATAGTTTTCACCGACATTCTTGTGCCCTCTGGAATTAACCTTTCCCGGCTCGTAAGATTATAATGCTTCAGCTGTTATGCAACATATCTTAGGTTGAAAACCACATTTCGGTTTCAGTTAATGTTGCCGTAACTAACAGAATTGTTGTAACAGAATTTGCAGATGTCACTTTTCCAGGGACGGACAAGAACATCCTAAAAAGAAAGGAAAAAAACAAAACAAAACTGAACAAACAGCCAAAATCCTAACAGTTTAAATTCTGAGGCTCGGCTTTGTTAAGATGCTCTGTAATCTCTATGACACTTGGTAAAGGCAACATCTGCAATAGTTTTATTTACAATRCCAGATGCAGTTGTTAGCAGAAAGCTTCACTTTTGGTGTGTGATAAAGAGGCGCTGGACGATGCTGTGCTGTAAAGTTCCTGATAGCTGAAAGGTGAAGGGGGCTGGGGAGAAGAAGCGAGCCCTGCATGGAGATCTGCAACTGCACTATGGGCCCCTTGTTTCATTCTCTATCTGCTTGCCTGTTTTTCTGGGGGAAAAAAAAAAAAAAAAAAAAAAGGATGTGTGTTGCAAACATAGGAAACTATCATTGCAGGGTTGCGAGGAAAGCACTCCGGGTAGGAATAAATGACCCTTAAAAATCTGCTTGGGACAGCATTGAAGATGTAAGCCTCTGGTGGGCCATTTTGCATACTCATTTGCGGTGGTTCTTCATCAGGCATGTTGTTACATTGTTGTGCTGTGACACTTTTGGAATCGGTAATACCCGTTTGAGTCATGTCCTTCTAACCTGCCTTCCCCCGGAGCTCTGCACCGTACTCGAAGGATGTCCCTGGCCSTGTCTCTGGCTCTCCGAGCCCTATGCACAGCTTACATCATTTGTCGTATTCGCTCGTGTTTATCAGCATTTTCTCTGGAGTGCTGATGTTAGCTTTTCCCAGTTATGAGGCATAACTGTCTCGTGAAGGATATGGTGGATATTATGTGGTAGCATATTTTTCCTTTGCGCTAAAAACTAGCAGAAAGGATAATTTACTGATGTTGGAATTTATTTTTWACTTGTTCCAAGCCAGAGTTTCTTCTTTTAGACCACAGTATYGCACTGAAATGGCTGAATATTTGCTTTGTTCAGTTAGCATTTTCCAATTCTAAAATAACCACTATGATTTGTCTCACGGGAACTGCAAATAAATGATGGGCATCTAATTTTTGCTATATTTTGTAATGAGTGTACTAATAGCCCTGTATAGCAGGCACAGTGTAAGAGCCACTGATTCACCCAGCTGGTATCATTAGTGACTCTGTCAGTGAAGCTATTTTTGATGACTCAATATTCATAAAAGGGCAAAGTAGAGAAAACAGAATGTGATAAAGCTGGGATTTGAAAGCCCCCATTATACAGTCAAGATAATAGTCACAACGGGGGCTCTGATCAGCTCACAAGGCCAGTCGCAGTCTGCTCTGCTCAGATTTTGCGCTACAAAACCAAGGGAAATTTGGTCCATGTTATTCTCCAAACATCAACCACTAGATTAGCCAGATCTTTGCAGATTAGGCTTTGTTCTCTGGTTAGGAGGATAAGGTACTCCTTTGTCCATAATAAAGCAGAAAGAAATCTGCTGCAATTACAGCAAAGCTTAATGTCCTCTCATATGACACAGTGGATGCTACACACCAAATGGAAATTGTCTCTCACCTGCTGTAAACTACTTTTCCCCTATTTTTCGTGTAGTTTCACCAGCACGGCAGCTCGGGCATCTTGCACTGGGGTGGCAGATAGCTCAAGCTGAACCACAGTGACTGATTAAAAACAACAGAGCTTTAAAACAATGACTGTTTAAACTGACTTCAGCAGGTGTCAAGTGTCAACCGCTTACAGGAGAATGGTGTTGGCTCTGGTTCTGAACTGACAACATACATAAATCCCCAAGTTTAACACCACCCTTTGTGTTCAGCTGGAAAAGTCCATGGTCTGATCCGAAGCTTCCAGGGAGCTTCAAGTTCCAGCGTGGACTGCTGCTCCTGGGAGCTCTCCTCCCCTGCCGAGCCTCGCTTGCTCCCATGGGGTTGTCTCCCAGTTTGCATTTTCCTGAGTTCAGCCTTTGTGAGGGTCCCGTGTTTTATACACACAGAAATTCTTAATCCTCAATCTATTCCAATCACTAAAAAAAATCCAGTTAATTGCAGTGGGATTTGTAGTTAAGAGATCAGACAAAGCAATGAATTCAGGTTGTGAGACTGGAAACTGCAGTAGTACTGCTGAAGCCACTGGGAATACTTACAGTGTTTATAAAATTAAACAAATTAATCTTTCCAAGACTAGAGCCTAAAGACCAAAGTATGCCTTCATTTATTCTTGTTCTCTGATGAAAGCAACTAGGTTTTCTATGCATAAACAAGTCARAATTTGCCTCTAGGTAAGCAGAACATTATTTTCAAAACTTTGAAAAGTGAAAAGCAGGTGTTAAGAGTCTATGTTTTTCCTGTAATGTCTTACAAAGCCGATGCTCTTAGTAGCACTATTCTTAGAAGTGTCTTATCATTCCCTAACAAAGGCTGCTCTCTTGCATGTGCAGGAAACGAACATGAGATTAATTACCCCAGTGTAACTTTCTGTAAAAACAGAGAGCTTAATGCTGAACGCGGAGGATTCATTAGAAAGCACAGGGAGCTTTGCTACAGCAAATACTCCAAGAGTGATTTAACAGCATGGACAATGCTTTTCTCTCTGTCTGATACTTGAACCATGAAACCACCACGTCAGCCTATCTAAAGAGGCAGTTGTGCAAGGAGTCTCCCAGGAGAGTATTTGGTGTGTGCTGCAGCTCTTTGTCCTCTAAGTGTGACCTGAAAGCTGTGCTGCTTTCGTTTCCCCACTTGGTTCCAGCTTTTTTTCACAGACCTGGCCTTGAGGGGTGCCAGGGAGCACCCAAAGCTGAGGGGAAGCTGGGTATGGGGCAGGAGCGGAGGGGAAGAAGCTGCTAACAAAAACTAAGAAGTGGTGGTGGTGGAGGTGAAGTCCATCCTGCTCTAGACTGAAAATGTTAAGTTTCAGGCATAGCTTGACATTCAGCCCCTCACAGGAGGAAAACCCATTGAAGATTCCTGCTATTTATGTTAGTGGATCATGAGTACCAGCCTCTGTAAGAAATTAGATATATTGGGAAAATCTGCTTCAAGTTTGCTRGGTTTCACAGTTCCTTATATTGGTGCTAAGTGCACCCATCCCAATTCTGTAAYAGCTGGCTCCTTGGTAGTTTCCATATGGAAATACATCTGATCCCCGACTGTTACTATTTGTTGTTTATTTATTGGGGGAGGTGGAAGGAAGGAATGGTTTCATGGCCTTGAAAACAAAGGTCTTATCACAGCCAGTGCAAAAAGTCACGGTGAGAGGAAAAACAACATAGAGAATGTCTCATGAAATAAGAGACTGGTGCTCTTGAGAAGACMCATTGCTCCTTGCTGACAAGGAGAAGGACATGGGATTCTTAACACCCAGGTAATTGCAGCCTCTCCACACATGGTTGTCCCATTTTTTGTCACAGTAGTGAGGAGCAGCAGCAGCACTGCTGAGTGCCCTGCCAGTGTTTACTGCCTGTTAGTGCTGTGTGGTTTGCAGTAGTAAAGGGCCATATACAGATGCTTGCTTGTTGTGAGTCACTGCAGCTCCGTTTAAGTCAACGCTGCGCAGCTGTCCCCCAGCTGAAGAGCTATTTTTAATCTTCAACWCTATACAAATTGATGAGGGAAGACCACTTGCTCAAAAAAAGGCAAGTTTCCCACTTTGCTTGAGTGACTGCTTTCTTCAAGCGTTGTTGAAAATCAAAATTCCTTGTCAGCATCTCTAGAACAAGAGTCCCAAATGGACCCCATATTGGAAAATGTAACCTTGCACTTCCTACCACACTTCTTGGAGTGTCTGGGAGGACAAATAGAGGGGTAAATTAAAGCGGGTGGAGCAGAGTTGTGTCCTGCTGTGCWGTGTGTGGGGCAGTGAGTGCTGCCAGAAGGGCACAGCAGAGCCCAACCCCAGCTCTGACCGTTGGGGGATCTGCCAGGACCYGACCGCAGCACACCAGGGCTGGGGGTTCACAAGATAAGAGAATCTAGGCGACTTCTCCATTTTTAGCTGAAGTTCTGGTATTTATCAGGAGAACAAACGGGAAGTTACTAAGAAGAAAAAGTAAAGTAGAATTATGGAAGAGTTTGCTCAAGTAATAGGAACAAGAGTCACAGAGCACTGCCAGGGGTGGGTGGGATGGAGAGTCTGATCTGATCCAGCACTGTGATCCTGTCAGATCACTGCCACCCTCCCYTGAAAGAAATCCCCAAGTGCTTTGTGAGGTCAAGTACTTCTGCTGGTTTGGGGTTTGGGGGAAGTTTCTGAAAAATAACTCTCAAAGAGAAATCTGAACTTAATTTTATCCGTAAGTCTTTYTATTTCAAATGCTTCCTACAAAGCCTCACCTTTTGAGTCCTGTCTCCTCTGAACAGAATTCTGRCCACCTTTCATACTGTTTTGGAATCAATATCCCGAGCTCCCTGGGTTTATTTAACCATTTTGCGCAGGTTTTGTAACGCCAGTTCACAGGCTGGGTGGAAATAGGAGTCACRTGGGGTGCAGAAAGTTGTCAGAGCCTTTTAACTCATTCCAGTTATACATTTTCTACCTATGGGGTTTTTTTTCTGTTGTTACTTCAGTTTAAAATCCAGTGTGTATTCTATCTGGTTAGTATACTAAAAAAGATCCAAATTTTGAGAAAATGAAGGCTTTCTAACAGAAGTTCCTGTGTGATAGTCTAGATATTCCCTTCTCTGCGAAATCCTGTACAAATTGATC